TTTGCTTGTTTATGACCGATCACCCTACTCACCATTTCTTTTCAAAATTTTAATTTTATTTTTTTTGCAAATTAAAAAAAAAAAATTCGAGTATATATCTTTTAAATGATATTTTGATCAAACATATTCACAGCCTCTTCAGCATTTAAATTAAAATAAATAAATCTTTTACAAAAAATATCTTACAAATATATATTATTTTAGTAATTTTGTATAAATTATTTGCATTATTAAATATCGATAAAATTACGCTCCATAGAAGGCATCTACATTTCGTCTGTGTGTGTGTGTGTGTGTGTGTGCGTACAAAATTGCACATTAAAATCAAATGGAGTGATATTCAATGTTAAAAAAAGATTAGCAATCGACAAAAAAATGTATATTGTACATAATCCATAGAGAATTCATTACAAAATTAACAATAGACCCACCGTGGAGTGCGGCTTAAATGGGGGCAGGGGTAAGAGTAATAATATAACTTATGATTAAATGCATATAAAGTAATTTATCAAACTGGAACGATCGACAATGATGACGCTGGCAACAACAAATAAAGGCACATATGGAAACTATTGGTGCCACTGTCAGTAACGTATGAAGCAAGGGCACAGTGGGTTCAATATTTCAAATATCGAGCGAGTGGTTTCTTTTTCAGTTTCTGAGGATCCTCAGTAACCGAGAATTATTTGTTTCTATAGACAAAAAAATTACACCTCAGTGTCTGAGGTGACTTTTTTCTATAGGAAAATTCTTCTACGGTGGCTGAGGTGACTTTTTATACCCTCCACCATACTATGGAGGGTATATTAACTTTGTCATTCCTCGAAATACTCATGTCAGACACATCAAAGTATATATATTCTTGATCAGCGTAAAATTCTAAGTCGATTTAGCGATGTCCGACTGCCTGTCCGTCTGTCTGTCTGTTGTAATCACGCTATCTTTCGAACGAATTGAGATACAAGGCTAAAATTTTGCACACAGGTTTATTTTTACAGTAGGCAGGTTAAGTTCGTAAATGGGCCATGTAGGTCCACGTTTTCATATAGACCCCATATAACGGTACCTCCCGATATTCGGTATTTTGATGATTTTAGCGACATTATTCACCGGAATTGTTTCAAATTTGGTATTTGAAGTTCAAAATGGATACTACAGCCTAAGACAGAAAATTGTCTGTGCAGGTCCACGTCTTCGTATAGCCCCCATATAACTGTACCTCCCGATATTTGGTATTTTGATGATTTTAGCGACATTATTAATCGGAATTGTACAAAATTTGGTATTTGAAGTTCGCAATGGATACTACAGCCTAAGACAGAAAATTGTCTGTGCAGGTCCACGTCTTCGTATAGCCCCCATATAACGGTACCTCCCTATATTCGGTATTTTGGTGATTTTAGCGTCTTTATTCACCAAAATTTTTTCAAATTAAGCATTTAGAGTTCGTAATGGAAACTCCAGTCTGTGACAGAAAATTGTCTATGCAGGTCCAGGTCTTCGTATAGGCCCCATATACCAGTACCTCCCTATATTCGGTATTTTGACGAGTTTAGGTACAATACTCACCGAAGTTGTTTGAAATGTCGTATTTGAAGTTCGTAATGGATGCTATAGAGTATGACAAAAAATTGTCTACGCAGGTTCAGGTCTTCGCACAGTTCCGATATAACGGTACCTCCTTATATTCTATACTTTGATGATTTTAGTTACATTATTGGCGTTTATTTCAAGTTCCGAATTTGAATTTGGTAATGACTCATGACAAATAATGCCTGTGTGGGTCCACATGGTATAGGCACCAATATAACGGCAATATTCGGTATTTTTAAAATTTTACCAAAATTGTTTCAGGATTTTATTTCCAAATTCGTTCCAAATGGTGGAGGGTACTCAAAGTTCGGTCCGGCCGAACTTACTACTTTTTAACTTGTTTCTATAGAAAAAAACCACACCTCAATGACTGAGGTGACTTTTTTTTATGGAAACATCTATCTCGATGACTGAGGTGACTTTTTACTGTAGGAAAATATCACACCTCAGTATGTGAGGTGTTTTTTTCTATTAAAAAAAATACACCTCAGTGTCTGAGGTGACTTTTGTAGAAAACGTCCGATCTGTACCATCTTTATAATATATCTTCTATTGATGGAAATATTGAGATGTACCAAGTCTGAATGGAATCGGATGTTAATTTCGCATTTTATGAGCTTCATGGATACTCAAATTGTGACCCTTTATGGAGGAGGTACCAGAAGGGGTAGATCAATATATTCTACCTTTGGTTATTAAAAATATTGAGATACGTGTAATTTTAAGGGAACCAGAAGCTTATTTCAGATTTTATAATCGGTTTGGTTATTCAAAATTTCGACCCTTTGTGGGGGAGGTATCAGAAGAAATGGTCCGATCTCTACCATCTTTATAACAACTATTGTGTTGGTGGAAAGATCGAGATTTACGAAGTCTCTGAATGAAATCGAATATCAATTTTTGCGTTTTATCAGCTTCATGGGTATTCAAAATTTTGACCCTTTGTGGAAGAGGTAACAGAAGAATTGAACCGATATATTCCATCTTCACACCAGACCATGGGTTAATAAAAATATTGTGATGTTTGTAATTTAAAAAACAATCGGACACGTACATCACGTTTTATAAGAATTATTATTTAAAATTTTAACCCTTTGTGGGAAAGGTACTTTATGGAGTGAACCGACATTGTCCTTTTTTGCACCTGATCTAGCACTGATGCAAATATTTGGATTCGCAAAGTTAAAGCAAAATCGGATTATCCTTTCTTTTTCTGTGCAGTAAATTATTTTCTTAGAAAATGCTAACATTTTGTGTGGGAGGTACCGGAAGAAGATATTGCTCATATCCGAACTCATATAAGTTTGACAATGATATTACGATGTGCCAAGTTTGAATCAAATCGGGTACTCCCTTTGAGAGTTATCGTGCGCACCAGTCAGCTAGACAGACAGACGGGCGGACATCGCTAGATCGACTCCAAATGTCCTGAAAGGGATTTGGTCCAAAGGCCTAGGGTGATTTTTTTTAAATTGACTGAGGTGAGATTTTCTATAGAAAAATCTAAATCTACCTCAGTGACTCAGGTGAGTTTTTCTATAGAAAAATCTTCATCTGTGACTGAGGTGAGATTTTCTATAGAAAAGTCTACATCTGTGACTGAGGTGAGATTTTCTATAGAAAAGTCTACATCAGTGATTGAGGTGAAAGTCTGAGGTAGAGTTTTCCGTCACCTCAGACACGAGGTCGTTTTTTCCTTTAGAAAAAACACGTAGGATTGAGGTAGGTTTTTATACCCTACACCACAAGGTGGTCAGGGTATTATGTCGTTGTGCATTTGTTTGTAACAGGCAAAAGGAAACGAGATAGACCCATAGTTCCTTTTGATGATCTGCATAGAATCACATTCTGAGTCGATTTATGCATGTCCGTCCGTCCGTCTGTCCATGTATTTTTGTAAACAAAGTACAGGTCGCATTTATTCCCCGATCCAGATGAAACTTTGCACAGATCATTTGTTTGGTCCAAGGACGAACCCTATTGAAATTGGAGATAATCGGTCAAAATTTAGATATAGCTCCCATATATATCTTCGTCCGATTTGCCTTTTATTGTGCACCAAACGTGTAATATCAGCCTGAATTGTATGGAATTTTGCGTATACACCCAAATTAGGCCTGAAAATAAGTATGAAAAATTTGATCGAAATCGGTTCAGATATAGCTATAGCTCCCATATATATTGTTCATCCGATTTGTTATTTTTGCCCTCCGCAGTCGTAATATGCACTCTGCAACAACAATATTTGGGAAAATATATCAAATACAGCTCAGAAATACATTTGCTAAATTTTATCGAGATCGGTTCAGATTTTGATATAGCTCCCATATATAACTTCGTCCGATTTACTTTTTATTGTGCACCAAACCTCTAATATTTGTCCAAATGGGATGGAATTTGGCACTTACGACCGAATTGAGTCTAGAAGCTAATATGTCAAATTTGGTAAAGATCGGTTCAGATATAGCTATAGCTTCCATATATATTATTCATCCGATTTGTTATATTTGTTACCCATAGCCGTAATATGCACTCCGTAACAACGATATTCAGGGAAATATATCAAATACAGCTCAGAAATATCTTTGCCAAATTTTATCAAGATCGGTTCAGATTTGGATATAGCTCCCATATATATCTTTATCCGATTTCAAATTAATTGTGCACCAAATGAGCAATAAAATTCCGAATTTAAAAGATACAAATGCTTGGCATATTTAGTCCTTTGAACTTTAAATTATAATTAAAATCATAGCGTGTATGATTGAATTCTCCCATAAAAACTTTTAATTATTATGCGCAGCTTTACTAAATTAGCAAAGTGGTGCAGGGTATCACAAAGTCGGCCCCGCCCGACTTTAAGACTTTCTTTACTGGTTCTTTATAGAAAAAACGCATCGGTGAATTGAGGTTGGATTTTTTTTCTATAGAAAAAACTAGCCTTATTGAAATGATGTTGGATTTTTTTCAATAAAAATTTGCCTTAGTGAACTGAGGCGGTATTTTTTCAGTTTCTAAAATTGTTTTCTATAGAAAAAATGCAACCAACACATATATCCTTAGCCTCTAAGGTCTTTTTCTATAAAAAATCAAATTTCAACTTTTTCGGGATACATTTGACCTCTATTCTTCCTGAAATGGCTTCGTAATTAAATGGATCTCCAGAATATCTTTATACAAGGCTTTTTTGTCCTTCAAACATTTAACCACAGAGGATCTTCAAGAGGCCGATTTGTAGAATATCTCTATCTTCTCTAGAATATCACCAATCAAATGAAATTCGTTTTCGTCATGCAAAGACCTTCAATAGGTCTTCTTCAGATAAAAATATTTAAAAATTCAAAATAGACCTCGGGAAGGTCTTCTACCCATAAAGATCTAAAAATAGGTATTCTATCCATAAAATACCTGTGAAAGATCTTCATTCTATGCAAGACTTTCAAATATGGATTTTTAGCCGAAGGAAACCTCTGGTATCGCCAGAAAACTCTGAAAAGGTCTTCGATACATAGAAATGTTTTTATTTGCATAGAAAACCTCAGAGAGTTATTTTGTATTTCTTAGATGGAAAATCGAATATGAAAGTCACCCGAAATGTATTTTTGTATATTTTTTGTATTCTAACCACCCACTGTGCCACAGTAGCTCTGTCATAAATCATTTAATAATTTTTTTTCTTTTCAATTATTTTTTTTTTTTTTTTGAAAATTACCAATATTATTTGAGTAGTGGCTGATTTCATTTTAGTCGCCGAAAAATAAATCAAATTTCATAGAAAATACACATCATTTTTCTTATTGGAAAATAATAACGAAAATCTTGGCTTATTTTACAAAAGGATCAACAAAAAATATCCAGAAACATAAATCATTAAATCTAACTTTGTATTAGCTTACAATACCTCGACTGCTACTTAAATCTACTCATGCGCACAGATACATACATAAATACATTATTACAATGGACTTACAATCGAGTTGATGATGTTTGGCTTTGGCCATTATTACCCTCGCCCCATTGGCCGCTACAAACGCTGATGCATTTTACAATTGCCATTGCAATTGATTACGGACCATACCCAGTCAACGTAGTTGGGCACCTTGGCGTAGATGCCAAATTTATTGCGTTTGGCACAGCCATCGCCGAATGACGTGATACCGAATATGGTCCAAGGATGGTTGGGTTTGGTGTTGTCGCGACAGAGCAGGGGACCACCCGAATCGCCGGCGCAGGTATCGATGCGTCCCCGTTTGTGACCGGCACAAAACATATTTTTTGTAATGGTGTAATCGTAATATACCGAACGGCAGTTATCCATTGAGATGATGGGGACTTCGGCCTGATGCAGGACACTGGTGCCGGCTACATCGCGATTCCGACGCTTACCCCAACCAATGACCGTACACTCGATATTCTTCGGCAGTGGTTGATATGGTTTGGGTAGGCAGGAGAAGCCTATCCAGGTTGTGGTATTTACCGGTTTGGGAAGTCTGTAAATTTTTCAAAATTTTTATTTTTTTCCACAACTAAGGAGGTCATTGAAAAACTCACTTCAGTAGGGCAACATCACTGTCCACAGTTTTCTTATCGAAACTCGGATGTTTGTAGCTTTTCAGAACTTTCAAATGCATCTCTGTGCCATCCTCATGATCCAGATTGTGTTCGCCCAAGCGAACATACAAGACTTTGCGTACACAATGGGCGGCTGTCAGGACCCATTGGGGGGCAATCAATGTTCCACCACAAAAGGCTTCCTGGAAAAGAATAAAAAACAAGACTTAGCTAAAATTGAAAACCTCAAAAAAATTTCCTTTTTCCCCTCACCTTAAAACGATTAAAAATCGCCACCTGCCACGGCCATTCACCTTTGCGCGCCGCCTTGCCGCCAATAATTTTCAACATATTATACATATTACGTTTATTACTGCGAATCGGAGCAATACCACACTTCAGTTTCATGGGAGTATATTCAGGTCCTCGATATCCTTTCCCATTCATAATAAAGTCGCTGACAATTGAATTTGAGATGGCACCATCATCACTCACATCACGACGACGTGTAGCAGATGGTCTCAATTCGTAGGCGGGTAGTTTTTGAACTTGGGCATTTAACCATTGCTGGCAAAAACTTCCCTCCGTATAGCAATAGGCTATTTCGCGCAGAACTTCACGTCCACACTGTTCACGAACGCGGCATTTTCTGGAAAAAGAGAAAGTTTAATTGTATTGTAAATGTAACAAATGTTCTATACGGAAAAGGTTCAATCGGGATGAACTCTTTTCCTGTACGAAAAAGGTTCATCGGGATGAACTCTTTTCCCATACGGAAAAAGTTCATCGGGATGAACTCTTTTCCCATACGGAAAAAGTTCATCGGGATGAACTCTTTTCCCATACGGAAAAAGTTCATCGGGATGAACTCTTTTCCCATACGGAAAAAGTTCATCGGGATGATCTCTTTTCCCATACGGAAAAAGTTCATCGGGATGAACTCTTTTCCCATACGGAAAAAGTTCATCGGGATGAACTCTTTTCCTATACGGAAAAGGTTCGATCGGGATGAATTCTTTTCCTATACGGAAAAGGTTCGGTCGCAATGAACTCTTTTCCTATACGGAAAAGGTTCGATCGGGATGAACTCTTTTCCTATACGGAATGGGTTCATCGGGATGAATTCTTTTCCTATATGGAATAGGTTCATCGGGATGAACTCTTTTCCTATACGGAATGGGTTCATCGGGATGAACTCTTTTCCTATACGGAAAAGGTTCGATCGGGATGAACTCTTTTCCCATACGGAAAAGGTTCCATCGGGATGAACTCTTTTCCTATACGGAATGGGTTCATCGGGATGAATTCTTTTCCTAGACGGAAAAAGTTCATCGGGATGAACTCTTCTCCTAGACGGAAAAAGTTCATCGGGATGAACTCTTTTCCTAGACGGAAAATGTTCATCGGGATGAACTCTTTTCCTATACGGAAAATGTTCATCGGGATGAACTCTTTTCCCATACGGAAAAAGTTCATCGGGATGAACTCTTTTCCTTTACGGAAAAGGTTCAATCGGGATGAACTCTTTTCCTATTCGGAAAAGGTTCAATCGGGATGAACTCTTTTCCTATACGGAAAAGGTTCAATCGGGATAAACTCTTTCCCTATACGGAAAGGGTTCAATCGGGATGAACTCTTTTCCTATACGGAAAAGGTTCAATCGGGATGAACTCATTTCCTATACGGAAAAGGTTCGATCGGGATGAACTCTTTTCCTATACGGAAAAGGTTCTATCGGGATGAACTCTTTTCCTATACGGAAATGGTTCAATCGGGATGAACTCTTTTCCTATACGGAAAAGGTTCAATTGGGATGAACTCTTTTCCTATACGGAAAAGGTTCAATCGGGATGAACTCTTTTCCTATACGGAAAAGGTTCGATCGGAATGAACCCTTTTCATATGCGGAAAAGTTCGATCGGAATGAACTCTTTTCCTATACGGAAATGCTCATCGGACGAACTTTTCCTTTACGGATAAACTTTTCCTGTGTGGAAAAGTTCATCGGGATAAACTTCTTCTTTTTCCGAAGATAACAGGAATTCTTTTGACTTACTTATATCTCCGCGTTGTGCACTTTGGTGTACACTTTGTCCACCGGCTCCATTTGGAGTAAATCCTCCTATGTTTCGGTATCAAATGCTCTGGCGTGGCTCTTTCCTTGGCTGGCGGAGCACCCGTTAAATTCCGATACTCATTGTAATCACTGAACTCCTCATAGGACATCTCACCGCCATTCTCCTGATTATCACCATGACTCAAATCGATGTCGAAATCCTCATATTGAAATACTTCACCCTCGGAGCCATCATCGAAGGTCTTGAAGCCGTTTGATTTGCCTTTTCGGTGATGGCGTGGATTTTGTCTTTGTGGTCTACGCGGTCTCGGATGATGGCGCATTGTCTTTACATTTGTGGGCGATGTCTGCAGATACTCGCTGGGCGGTTGGGCTGAACCCAACTCGTTGAGAGCATCTTCGGCTTGTTCCTCCGAGTAATCAATGATTTCATGATGTACTAGAATATCTGGATAACTGACCTTTGGTGGTGATCTATGGTGAGGTGGTCGTTTCCTTTTAGCTTTGATAACATAAAAATCTGTTTCAACACTATCGTCGTCGTCGACTTCCTCCCCTCCTCCTTGCCAATTTTCGTGACGACCCCCACTCGTGCTGCTGCTTACATGTTCGGCAACAAGTTCCTCACTTTGTATTACAGGATGTTGGTTGTACGACTCGATTGGTGTGCCACCACTCCATAGTGTGGGCTGATGCGTCGTCTGGCTGCCAACACTTGCTGCAATGGGCGCTGTGGCAGCGGCAGCTGCTGCATTAATTACAATTGTTGGCACTGTGTTGCTGGTGTGCTGTTGTTGTTGCTGTTGCTGCTGTTGTATCGGCTGGACACCATGCGGCGGTAGACTGCTTGACGTGCTTGTTGACCATTTACTAGCGTCCGTTGCCGCCGGATGACATCTACGAAAGTTGAAGGAAAGAATTTCGTTAAGCGACACAGAGAGAGGGAGACAAATTACATTTGGCGAAGATTTATTTGTGGAAGACAAATGGAATCTGTAACCATTTGTCTGACGGAAACTATAACAGACATATTTTATTGTGTGGGAGATCCATGTTTTTTTTTTGGGATTTTGTAAATTTTCGACAATTGGGTCAGTTGTGAAAGGCATAATGGGATGAAAATTAATGGATTTTTATTCAGAGAGTTATGGATAACAATTTCGTTGGAAAGGCTTTGGATTTTCATAGAAGATTTTTGCGTTATCCGTCCTGATATTTCATAGACAATTTTTCGTTAACCGTTCGGATTTCATAATTTTCACAGAAAAGTACGTTATTCGGATTCTTAATCCAGATAATTTTTTAAATGGGAAATATTATCCGATGAAATGTTTTCTTAGGACACGTTTACCCATAGGAGAAGTCTATCTGGATATTTTTTCCAAGAAAAAGTTCATCCGGATGCTGTTTATCCGGATACAGTTTTTCATAGAAAAAGTTTATCCGGATACAGTTTTTCATAGAAAAAGTTTATCCGGATACAGTTTTTCATAGAAAAAGTTTATCCGGATGCAGTTTTTCATAGAAAAAGTTTATCCGGATACAGTTTTTCATAGAAAAAGTTTATCCGGATACAGTTTTTCATAGAAAAGGTTTATCCGGATACAGTTTTTCATAGAAAAAGTTTATCCGGATACAGTTTTTCATAGAAAAAGTTTATCCGAATACAGTTTTTCATAGAAAAAGTTTATCCGGATACAGTTTTTCATAGAAAAAGTTTATCCGGATACAGTTTTTCATAGAAAAACTTTATCCGGATACAGTTTTCCATAGAAAAACTTTATCCGGATACAGTTTTTCATAGAAAAAGTTTATCCGGATACAGTTTTTCATAGAAAAAGTTTATCCGGATGCAGTTTTTCATAGAAAAAGTTTATCCGGATAAATTTTTTCCATAGAAAAAAAATTATCCGGATAGATTTTTTCATAGAAAAAGTTTATCCGAATAGATTTTTTCATAGAAAAAGTTTATCCGAATAGATTTTTTTATAGAAAAAGTTTATCCGGATACAGTTTTTCATAGAAAAAGTTTATCCGGGTACAGTTTTTCATAGAAAAAGTTTATTCGGATACAATTTCTCAGAAAAAGATTATCCGGATACAGTTTTTCATAGAAAAAGTTTATCCGGATAGATTTTTTCATAGAAAAAGTTCATCCGGAGGCAGTTTTTCATAGAAAAACTTTATCCGGATGCAGTTTTTCATAGATAAATTTTATCCGGATGCAGTTTTTCATAGAAAAAGTCTATCCAGATGCAGTTTTTCATAGAAAATGTTTATCCGGATACAGTTTTTCATACAAAAAGTTTATCCGGATACAGTTTTTCATAGAAAAAGTTTATCCGGATACAGTTTTTCATAGAAAAAGTTTATCCGGATACAGTTTTTCATAGAAAAAGTGTATCCCGATATAGTTTTTCATAGAAAAAGTGTATCCGGATTCAGTTTTTCGTAGAAAGACTTAATTCCGCTAAATTTTTTTCATGAGAAAGTTCCATCCGAATAATTTTTTCCCTTTGGAAAAATTATATTACTCTGTGTTTATCATCCAAAAATTCCGTCTCACCTCAAATATCCACCCTTTTAGGAAAATTAGGCCGATTTAATGAAATATTAGTTTAATGATAACTACGAGTCTTTGTTTCTAAAATGTGAGGCCTTTTGTTCTTATGACTTCACCTAAAATTAGTCAGCCATTAAGACAGACAATGACACACTCCATTAACTCTGATTTCGGTGGAAGAGAACTCCAATTTTTACACACTCCATTAACCGGTGACAATGACTCAATTTTTGATCAATGGCCGCAAAACCCTTTTGTTCATCCAAGAGGCAAGTTTCTGTATTTTTTATTATTATTTTTTTGGAATACCTACCGGCGACATTGACGTTCTTCGATGTGTTTGCTATGGCCACATTTCCGCTTGATTTTACAGTGACGTTCCCGCCGCTTCATGCAATCTGGTGAACATGAGGACCACGGAGACCATTGTCCGAAAAAGTAGTCCGGCTCGTGGTGATGATGGTGACGTGATGGCCGCCGTCGTGGCGTCCACCGGTGATACGGATGTCGGCGAGGATGATGATGATGGTGATGACGACGATTTTCATTGGCATACACCCGATGGACCCTTTGTCCATTGTTCCAGTGATGGAAACGATTTCGGTGGGGCCGCTGTCCATCGTAGTGTCTTCTATGTTGTTCGGCCGGCGATTGTTGTTGCAAGATCGACTGGTTAAGAGGGTGTGCTGGTGCTGGCGATGTCAGCAAATGACCCATTGAAGCGGTAACTTCCGCTGCTGGTTTCTGTTGTTCGACCAATTGAACATGACTGCTCTGTAATGAGGCAAAGAGAGAAGACAAAGAGAAGAGTTACATTAAAACAAAAGTGAAAAACTGTTTGTATATGGCACCCCCTCACCATAGGAGGAGGTGGGGAGGAGTAAATTGATATGATGTGAACTTTATAGGTTTTAAGGTTTAAGGTTTTGTTGTGTCTAGCATCTTGTGGCAAACATGATTTATGAATCACGTTTTGTGGCCAAGTTGACTTGGAGTAGTTGTCTCTTTGCTTGAGGTTTTCTATTGTGCGACGCCGCCTTTTCCATTCAACTTCTATGCCATCAATGGTCGTATCATTTGGCTATCAAACATGCAATATGTAATATGTTTTCTCGTCTACATGTTGGGATATTAGTTTCAAATTGACTATGGTTTCATGTCGAGTTCTTTTATTTATCAAAGTGTTCGTGTTTATCTGGAAATTTTCAAACAGTGTCTTAATTGGTGAATTTAGTTTTGACAAATGTGACAGCCTACTAAATGACATTAAACAATAGTTCTTAAATCATGCGACAAAAAAAAAACATTTTCTATGAAAAAAATGTATCTGGATAAACTTTCTCTATGGAAAAATGTATCTGGATAAACTGTATCCGGATAAACTTTTTCTATGAAAAACTGTATCCGGATAAACTTTTTCTATGAAAAACTGTATCCGGATAAACTTTTTCTATGAAAAACTGTATCCGGATAAACTTTTTCTATGAAAAACTGTATCCGGATAAACTTTTTCTATGAAAAACTGTATCCGGATAAACTTTTTCTATGGAAAACTGTATCCGGATAAACTTTTTCTAGGAAAAACTGTATCTGGATAAACTTTTTCTAGGAAAAACTGTGTCCGGATAACCTTTTTCTATGAAAAACTGTATTCGGATAACCTTTTTCTATGAAAAACTGTATCCGGATAACCTTTTCTATGTAAAACTATCCGGATTAATTTTTTCTTGTGACTTTTTCTATGAAAAACTGTATCTGGATAAACTGTTTCTATGAAAAACTGTATCCGGATAAACTGTTTCTATGAAATCTGTACCCGGATAAACTTTTTCTATGAAAAAATGTATCCGGATAAACTTTTTCTATGAACAACTGTATCCGGATAGACTTTTTCTATGAAAAACTGTATCCGGATAGACTTTTTCTATGAAAAACTGTATCCGGATAGACTTTTTCTATGAAAAACTGTATCCGTATAAACTTTTTCTATGAAAAACTGTATCCGGATAAACTTTTTCTATGAAAAACTGTATCCGGATAAACTTTTTCTATGAAAAACTGTATCCGGATAAACTTTTTCTATGAAAAACTGTATCCGGATAAACTTTTTCTATGAAAAACTGTATCCGGATAAACTTTTTCTATGAAAAACTGTATCCGGATAAACTTTTTCTATGAAAAACTGTATCCGGATAAACTTTTTCTATGAAAAACTGTATCCGGATAAACTTTTTCTAGGAAAAACTGTATCTGGATAAACTTTTTCTAGGAAAAACTGTGTCCGGATAACCTTTTTCTATGAAAAACTGTATTCGGATAACCTTTTTCTATGAAAAACTGTATCCGGATAACCTTTTCTATGTAAAACTATCCGGATTAATTTTTTCTTGTGACTTTTTCTATGAAAAACTGTATCTGGATAAACTGTTTCTATGAAAAACTGTATCCGGATAAACTGTTTCTATGAAATCTGTACCCGGATAAACTTTTTCTATGAAAAAATGTATCCGGATAAACTTTTTCTATGAAAAACTGTATCCGGATAGACTTTTTCTATGAAAAACTGTATCCGGATAGACTTTTTCTATGAAAAACTGTATCCGGATAGACTTTTTCTATGAAAAACTGTATCCGGATAGACTTTTTCTATGAAAAACTGTATCCGGATAAACTTTTTCTATGAAAAACTGTATCCGGATAAACTTTTTCTATGAAAAACTGTATCCGGATAAACTTTTTCTATGAAAAACTGTATCCGGATAAACTTTTTCTATGAAAAACTGTATCCGGATAAACTTTTTCTATGAAAAACTGTATCCGGATAAACTTTTTCTATGAAAAACTGTATCCGGATAAACTTTTTCTATGAAAAACTGTATCCGGATAAACTTTTTCTATGAAAAACTGTATCCGGATAAACTTTTTCTAGGAAAAACTGTATCTGGATAAACTTTTTCTAGGAAAAACTGTGTCCGGATAACCTTTTTCTATGAAAAACTGTATTCGGATAACCTTTTTCTATGAAAAACTGTATCCGGATAACCTTTTCTATGTAAAACTATCCGGATTAATTTTTTCTTGTGACTTTTTCTATGAAAAACTGTATCTGGATAAACTGTTTCTATGAAAAACTGTATCCGGATAAACTGTTTCTATGAAATCTGTACCCGGATAAACTTTTTCTATGAAAAAATGTATCCGGATAAACTTTTTCTATGAAAAACTGTATCCGGATAGACTTTTTCTATGAAAAACTGTATCCGGATAAACTTTTTCTATGAAAAACTGTATCCGGATAAACTTTTTCTATGAAAAACTGTATCCGGATAAACTTTTTCTATGAAAAACTGTATCCGGATAAACTTTTTCTATGAAAAACTGTATCCGGATAAACTTTTTCTATGAAAAACTGTATCCGGATAAACTTTTTCTATGAAAAACTGTATCCGGATAAACTTTTTCTATGAAAAACTGTATCCGGATAAACTTTTTCTATGAAAAACTGTATCCGGATAAACTTTTTCTATGAAAAACTGTATCCGGATAAACTTTTTCTATGAAAAACTGTATCTGGATAAACTTTTTCTAGGAAAAACTGTGTCCGGATAACCTTTTTCTATGAAAAACTGTATTCGGATAACCTTTTTCTATGAAAAACTGTATCCGGATAACCTTTTCTATGTAAAACTATCCGGATTAATTTTTTCTTGTGACTTTTTCTATGAAAAACTGTATCTGGATAAACTGTTTCTATGAAAAACTGTATCCGGATAAACTGTTTCTATGAAATCTGTACCCGGATAAACTTTTTCTATGAAAAAATGTATCCGGATAAACTTTTTCTATGAAAAACTGTATCCGGATAGACTTTTTCTATGAAAAACTGTATCCGGATAGACTTTTTCTATGAAAAACTGTATCCGGATAGACTTTTTCTATGAAAAACTGTATCCGGATAAACTTTTTCTATGAAAAACTGTATCCGGATAAACTTTTTCTATGAAAAACTGTATCCGGATAAACTTTTTCTATAAAAAACTGTATCCGGATAAACTTTCTATGAAAAACTGTATCCGGATAAACTTTTTCTATGAAAAACTGTATCCGGATAAACTTTTTCTATGAAAAACTGTATCCGGATAAACGTTTTCTATGAAAAACTGTATTCGGATAAACTTTTTCTATGAAAAACTGTATCCGGATAAACTTTTTCTATGAAAAACTGTATCCGGATAAACTTTTTCTATGAAAAACTGTATCCGGATAAACTTTTTCTATGAAAAACTGTATCCGGATAAACTTTTTCTAGGAAAAACTGTATCTGGATAAACTTTTTCTATGAAAAACTGTATCCGGATAAACTTTTTCTATGAAAAACTGTATCCGGATAAACTTTTTCTATGAAAAACTGTATCCGGATAAACTTTTTCTAGGAAAAACTGTATCTGGATAAACTTTTTCTATGAAAAACTGTATCCGGATAAACTTTTTCTATGAAAAACTGTATCCGGATAAACTTTTTCCATGAAAAACTGTATCCGGATAAACTTTTTCTATGAAAAACTGTATCCGGATAAACTTTTTCAATAAAAAAATTTATCTGGATAAACTTTTTCTCTGAAAAACTGTATCTGGATAAACTTTTTCTCTGAAAAACTGTATCCGGATAAACTTTTTCTATGAAAAACTGTATTTTCTATGAAAAACTTTATCCGGATAAACTTTTTCTATGAAAAACTTTATCCGGATAAACTTTTTCTATGAAAAACTTTATCCGGATAAACTTTTTTCCATGAAAAACTGTATCCGGATAAACTTTTTACCATGAAAAACTGTATCCGGATAAACTTTTTTCCATGAAAAACTGTATCCGGATAAACTTTTTTCCATGAAAAACTGTATCCGGATAAACTTTTTCTATGAAAAACTGTATCCCGATAAACTTTTTCTATGAAAAACTCTATCCGGATAAACATTTTCTATGAAAAACTGTATCCGGATAAACTTTTTCTATGAAAAACTGTATCCGGATAAACTTTTTCTATGAAAAACTGTATCCGGATAAACTTTTTCTATGAAAAACTGTATCCGGATAAACTTTTTCTATGAAAAACTCTATCCGGATAAACTTTTTCTATGAAAAACTCTATCCGGATAAACTTTTTCTATGAAAAACTGTATCCGGATAAATTTTTTCTATGAAAAACTGTATCCGGATAAACTCTTTCTATTAAAAACTGTATCCGGATGAACTTTTTCTATGAAAAACTCTAACCGGATAAACTTTTTCTATGAAAAACTGTATCCGGATAAACTTTTTCTATGAAAAACTGTATCCGGATAAACTTTTTCTATGAAAAACTGTATCCGGATAAACTTTTTCTATGAAAAACTCTATCCGGATAAACTTTTTCTATGAAAAACTCTATCCGGATAAACTTTTTCTATGAAAAACTGTATCCGGATAAATTTTTTCTATGAAAAACTGTATCCGGATAAACTCTTTCTATTAAAAACTGTATCCGGATGAACTTTTTCTATGAAAAACTCTAACCGGATAAACTTTTTCTATGAAAAACTGTATCCGGATAAACTTTTTCCATGAAAAACTGTATCCGGATAAACTTTTTACCATGAAAAACTGTATCCGGATAAACTTTTTTCCATGAAAAACTGTATCCGGATAAACTTTTTTCCATGAAAAACTGTATCCGGATAAACTTTTTCTATGAAAAACTGTATCCCGATAAACTTTTTCTATGAAAAACTCTATC